CACAACCTAGTTAGATTGCCCGCCTTTGCGGAGCTGCGCGAAGACCTCAACTTGCCTAAAAAATCCCAGGGGACCTTATGAGCACGAGCATTTCTCCCGTAGCACGCTTTAGCAAAAATACCTGCCGCGCTACGGGAGACGGTTCAATTCCTTCCTAGATCAGGTCACAGGAGCTTCGCAATGACTGAAACCTGGGGTTCTAACTTAGATTTAGGCCTAGTCTCAGGCCAATTTACACTTTGGCTTATGCTGAACGTAGAGATAGACTTGGACTTGCTACGTGCAAATCAAAGGTGCAAATCACGGGCGAACACTTCCGCGTTCTAGAATCTAGGGCAGTGAAGACGTCATCTGTAAGTTGGAGCGATTTGATGACGTAATTGGACGTAATTGGTAAATCAGACCACTCACGCTGTGGGTGTGTAAGGTCTTTTAGCAATTACGCCCAATGACGTCATCAAAACCGCTCCGTTAAGGACAGCTCGCGACTCGATCCCTAAGTCGATTTTGCCAGCCAGGTCTCCGAGCACAGAAGTCGTGACATTGTCGCGAATCGAAAGTGCGTAACAAAGGTGTTAAGGTCTTCCTTGGCCGCGATCGTTAGCATTTTCACTTTGTGAGGGCTGTTCAGAATGTTCAGCAAGCTCAACTTCAGCTTTTCAGATACTAAGGATCAGATTATCGTTGACACCGTTTTGTACCACAACAATTTTCAACGTCAGAAAATTCTGAGCGCATACGAAGATATGTATGGAAGGGTGAGTTGCATTAAATCGTAAAGTGCCTGAAGTTGTGGAGTCTGAGCCGCTCTGGATCGTGATTACAGAGAGCGCTTTGGAATGAGAGATATCGTTAGCATATTCAGATGAAAGGATTTCAGAAGCTTATTGATGACCTCGAAGACGAAGACTGGCGGGTATTTTCTTGAGATGGCTCAGGCTCTCTTTCGACCGGCACATCAGTATGACACTATGAACTTGCATCGATCGCTCTCTGTAAGTTTAATTTTCACTCTTCTCAACATTTATATTTTTATTTATTTATTTTATTTGACATCTTAGATTGGTGACTGTTTTTGGCCGCACTTCACCATGCGGAACGTATCACAGAAAAGCTGTTTATGGAAAACCTCTTAGCCCCAGGCGGGATCGAACCCGCAATTCGCACTCATTCGATGCACGCTTTGCCCTATGATACGACCAGTTACTTGCAACACCTAAGAAGGCAGCCCAAACGATGGAATTCGTGAACAACGACCAAATATCTCACCTAGTTACTAGGCTTCGATGCCAGCTATCCATCACCCAAACGCTAAGGAATGAAGTACGATTCCTTTATCACAACCGTAGATCAGCCAACGGCAATCATGGTTCGGAAACCTTCAAAAGAATCGCTTTCAGAGTCCTTATTGAAA